ACTATCCACCAAAGTTCATTCATACCATATTAGGGTGCTTGAGGAACAGAGTCAATAGAAAATAAATGTATAATTATGCAAGGGGATTTATTATTCAGGCTTCGTGACCAGATGTGGGAAAGCCCACAGTGAATGTCTGTGAAATCAGAGGTGAAAGAATACATAATAGCCATCTGCATACTGCAGAACTGGAGCATCCAGTAGCCACTCAACTCAAGCAGATGGAAGCCCTGGAACAGAAGGGCTCAAGATGCAGCAGTAGGCCAAGGATGAAGGTCTGGAAGCTCATTATGGTTACCAGTGCAAGCTTGTGTTAGAAGGATGATGAAACGAAAGATGGATGCCAGGTGGTGATGGCAAAGACCAGGCAGCAAAGACTGGCATGCTTCCTTCTTTCTCTTTTTTTATTCTGTGTCAGGTACAAACCTTGTGGTTGGTGCCATCCAAAGGGTGAGCCCTCCCCTTTGAGTGTGCTGGCCCACATGCCAGTCTTTCACAGACACAGCAGAACTGTGCTTTACTAATCTGTTAGGCACTTAATCCAGTCAAGTAGATGCATCATGAAGAATGGTCACACACCTTCTTCATTACCAGAACTGCCAAACTGCCGATTGCTCAGCTACAGAACCTCATTGTCCAGTAAAGAGATGGGTAAGTGTCTCATTAGGTAAAAGGAAAGAGTCAAAATGACACGTGCCCCTTCTGGGACACTTATGTTTTTCTTTGTCTTTTTGAGACAGGGTCTTGCTATACAGTTCAGGCTGGACTTGAGCTCACTTTGCAGCCAAGACTACAAAGGGTCTTGACCTGCCTCAGCCTCCTGAGAGCTGGGATTACAGCTATGCACCACTACACCTGGCTCTGGGACACTATTTTTTTAAAAACAAAAATGATGATACAGAATTTCAAAATAAAATAGGATACACCTATTGTGTATTGTTATCTTTAAAGTAGTTTTTCAGATTATGAGATATAGGCATAAAAGAAGATCAAACAATTGAACAATGAAAGCACAAACTGTTATGAACTTTTTTTTGATGAACTAATAGAGATTAGTATAGTTATGCCTCTTGTATGTATATATATATATATATACACACACACACACACACACACACACACATATATGAATATATGTATATATATTTCACATATCTTTCCTTCTTTTTTCTTCTTCCCCATCCCAGTTGTTGTTTTGGGCAGTTTCTTTCCATTTCACTTTTACAATATTTATTGTATATTTTGGATCTTATTTACTCTTTCAATACAATTAGGGAGACAATATATTTATTCATGCGAGTCTGATTTATTTCACTTATGAGTATGGCATCAAGTTGCATCCATTTACCTATGAAAGCCTCAAGTTTATAGCTGAGTAATACTCCATTGTATAAAAATACCACATCTTTTTTATCCTTTCCTCGATTGATGGGCACTTGGGTTGTTTCCAAGATTTAGCTATTACAAATTGTGCTGCTATAAATGTGGGTGCACATATATTGCTGTGGTATGATATTTTCAATTCTTCTGGGAAAAAAAATCCAGAAAGGGAATAGCTGGATTGAATGGGACCTCCAATCCCATTTTAGAAAACTGATTCCAGTGATTGAACTCATGACCGCATGCTTGCAAGGCAGGTGTTTATGCCACTGAGCTAAATCCCCAGCCCCTCCAATCTCATTTTTCGAGGAATCCTCACACTGGTTTCCACAGTGGTTTCACTAGTCTACATTCCCACCAACAATGGAGAAGGGTTCCTGTTTCCCAGCCGTGCCATTAGCATTTATTACCATTTGATTTCTTGATGACAGTCATTCTTCCTGGAAATGGAATGTCAATGTTGTTCTAATTTGCATTTCTTGAATGATCAGTGCTGTTGAATATTTTTTCATATATTTATTTGACATTTGTATTTCTTCATCTGAAAAGTTATATATTCATCTCAGATGCCCATTTTTGGACTGGCTCTTTGAATTTGAGGGGTATGATTTTTTTTTTCAATTCTTTGTATGTTCTAGAGATAAGTCTTTTTTCTGAGGGACAGTTGGCTAAATTTTTTTTTTCTGATTCTGTGGGATTTCTTTTTCACTGTGTTGGTGATTCTTTTCATATTCAAAAACTTTAATAAGATGACATCCTAGTTGTTGATTCTTTGAAGTACTTCCCATGCAGTTTTCATTTTGTTCATGAACTCTTTACTTATCCCTATGTTATCAAGATTTCTACCTTTGTCTTCCAGTAGATTGTTTAATATTTAGATCTTTGATTCATTTTGATTTTAGGTTAGCGCATAGTGATAGACATAGGTCTAGTTTCAGTCTTTGGCATGGCAAAAGCCAATTTTTCTAGCACCATTTATTAAAAAGGCCATCTTTCTTCCTATGAATCTGTTTGGCCCCTTTGTGAAAGATAAGGTGGCTCAGTGTCTTTGTAGTTGTGTCTGCATCTTCTATTCTGTTCCATTAATCTTCAGGTCTATTTCTTTGCCAGCACCATGCTGATTTATACCAGTAGCTTTGTAGAATAATTTCACATCAGGGATTGAGATGCCTCCTGCCTTGCCTTTGTTGCCTAGGATTGCCTTTGCATTCCAGGTCTCCTCTGTTTCCAAATGAATTTTAGGAATGTTTTCTCTAGTTCTGTGTGGTATGCTGATGGTATTTTGATCAGAATTGCAGTAAATCTGTATAACAGTTTTGGTGGTGTTTTAATTATTTTTCACTCACCCACTGAAACAAAATACCTGATGCCCCAAATTAGGGAAAGAAAGGTTTATTTCTTCTAGTTCTTGGGGATTTCAGTCCACACTCAGTTGGCTCCAAGGCAGCATGGTGTGGTGGGCAGCCCTTCATGGCTGCTGCAAATAGCAAAAGTGAAAGCAAAAGCAAAAGCAAAAGAGAGAGATCTGCCTTCTTCCTGCCACTGCACTGGCTTCACCCCTGGGCAGATGAAACACGTCATCAAATCCCAGCACTAGACAATGAACCAATCACAAATGCTAGATTCAGTTGCCTCCATGACTGGATGAGGATTTGTGGGGGGACATTTAAATAAACCACAACAGAGAGTATTGCCATTTTCACAATACTGGTTCTTTGGGACACTCTTAAAAGCACTGACATGTGACCTCTTCTCTCTGCCTCTTCGCTGGGCTAAGATACACGAGATGGCAGGCAGTACAGAGTCCCAAGGACCCAGGACAGAGATCATGTGTGAGGATTATAGAGTTCCCCTACTAGTCTAGACCAATCATCTCCGAATCATTAAATGAGAGGAAAACAAAAACAAAAACAAGAGCAAAACAAACAAAAAACCAAGAAAACTAGAGTCTGCCAAAAAATGCCACACTAGTATGCCAGCATTTCACCATACTAATAGATGCCTGGAAGTTGACGGTCGCCACTTTGAACACTGCTTATAACTGTAGAGGCCAAAGGTAACTTCTATGTCTCATGATGTCTCAATAAATTCATTATTAAAATATATAAACAAGTTTTCTTTTCCTGATGCATACATTTTTGGTGTGGACTCTATATTGCTTTATGTAAGGTACCTTTGGGTCTCTGAATCTGTATGCCATTTAGAACCCAAGGCTAGTTTTGGATTAGAATTTTTAAGTATTTCTGGATATGGCAGAGCCATTCTTGAAGAAATGGAAAGGTTTTGCTAGTTTAATTCAGAGAACTAGTGCATTAAACCCAATGGATTCCTCCCACCCCTCCTCAATGCCTAGCAGTGACCAGGTCATTCCAAGTGCAGAAGGGGCTCTTTTTTTTTTTTTTTCCTTTCAGTAAGGGGCTTGTAGAACCTGCCTGTTATAATCTCATAGCAAAAACAAATCAAAACTAAAAACTGAGGCAGAGAGTGGCCCAGGGGAAATCTAGAGTGCAAAGTAGACAGCTTAATCTGTTTAATGCTGTATGTCTGGCAACTTTCTACACAGTAAGCTAATCCTCCTCTTCTTATATTACAGCCTCACACGAATACAGGTGGTAACTCAACGGCTTGGTTGGCTCAAGCTTCTCATTTCTGTGGGCAGTAATCTGAAGTTCCGTCCTCATGAGATTATCCGCCCATTTTGGCAGGTTATTTGTGTAAAACCAAAATTTCACACGAGGAACTCCCAAACTGCTCATTTGGCTCCAGCCATCTTGTATCAAGGTTGAAAATTAAAAAAAAAAAAATTTTTTTTTTTGTCTTTTTCATTTTTATCGGTACCAGGGATCGAACTCACGACCGCACACTTGCAAGGCAGTTGCTTATGCCACTGAGCTGAATCCCCAGCCTCTTAAGGTTGAAAATTTGTCACAGGAACATATATTATTACTTGTGATTTCAAAAGGAAGAAGGGTCTAACAGCACCATTTGCTTCACCTAGACTATATTGAGTGATGTTTATAAGCTTGGTTCTACTTTATGGCCTGTAAAATGGGGATTGAGAATACATTTGTAAACTGAGAATGAAGGTCTACACATGTAATCACAGTACTCAGAGGCTGTGATAAGAGGATGGCAAGTTTCAGGCGAGACTGGATAATTTAGCAAGTTTTTTTTTTTTTTTTTTTTTTGAGAAAAACGAAAAACAAAAACAAAAACAAAAAACCAAGTCTGGAGATAAGCTCAATGTGAAGGCTCTGACAAATACATGTAATACCATATATATGTTTTTATACATATATGCATAGTACATCTATAAATATATACACACATAAACATATAGCTATGTTGAATATATCGTTCTTATTCTGTGCCTTATTTGCACTTTGGATCAACAGGAAGCCGCTATTTCTCACTGTAATGGCTAGAATGCAAATGCATACACACTCTTTAACTGGCCAGAAAGTAGATATCCTTACATGTTACTGGGCAAAATGAACAACTGCTAAGGAGGCGGCCACTGGGAGAAACTTTAATCCAAGTATGCAGCCCTGCTGAGCGCGACCACTTTTTGGCCCCTGCTGCTTTATGTACTTCGGGTGGGAATAAGGACACATGTTCTCTACCTGAGAACTTTGTCCCTCGGCTGAGCACACGCTCTCACCGACAGCTGGCGCACAGCCTTAGCCAACCCCGTTTCCGGGCGCGGCTCCCCCAGCGCCCGCCCGCTCCGGGCTAGCTTCCTCGCCCTCGCCCCCCCCCCGTCCCGCCCCGACGCCCTCGGTCGGTGCCTGCCTATGCTTTCGGGAATCGCGAGGGCTCGCCAGCTACTGCGCGGCCTCTTGCCCGGTTCGAGGATGGGCGATTCCGCCTCCACGCTCGTCAGCCCTCAGGAGGCCCTGCCCGGCCGCAAGGAGGCGATTTCTGTAGCGGGTAAGGACAGACAGGCACCCCAGGCTCCGGGCGTCGCCTCTGCTGCGCATGCGTGCCGAGGCTGGTGCCATGCGTTCTTTCTGGGCGGAAAGGAAGCCAGGCCGGCCTCGGGCGGGTCCCAAATCTGGTCTGCGCAGGCGCGCCTCTGGCTGGGGTCCTAGATCTGGGTTTGCGCACGCGTGCCATTCTTGGGGTGGGACGAGGGGGCGGTGTGTTTGCGGTTTTTGGCTGAAGCTGGAGCTTCATTTTTTTGGTTAACTTTTCGCTCCCTAAAGCAGAACTGAGCGATTTGAAAAAAATCTGATGTGTCGGTTTAATTCTCCTGGAATGCAGTATTTTGGCGGGCTCCGCAATTTGGGCAGAAAGGCGTGGTGGAGGGGCGCCCTGCCCCCCCTTGGGTGTGCTGGGCAGCCCGGGGCTCAGCCTTCTCAGTGCTGTGGCCCGTGCGCCCCGCAAGAATGGTGCTGTGTGTTGTCGGAGAAGCGTTGGAATGAGACCCAGCGTTGTAGGCTTTAGTTTTCAAATTGGATCTCAGGCCTGTGTTTTGGCTGCAGAAATTACTCCGGTTTTCCCTTCGGGGGTATGGAGTGGTAAAGCCTTTGAGAGAAGCTGTCCCTGTCCTTCTGCTCCTCTGACTGCTCTGACTGCTCTGATGGTCAGTTATTTCAGAGGTGTCATTTTACAGGGTACTTTTCATACATTCTATTTATTCTCAATACTTAAAGAAATACAGTAAAAGGGAACTACTAGCAAAGTGATCATATGCTTGAATGCTCACTAATGTTAACTAGCTGTAAAAATTTAAAAAGTTTACTTTGAATTTTTGTGACATACACATGGCTCCACAAATACCAGTGTTACTGTGTGTACGGAGCTTGTAGTCTCACTACATTAAGGACTGAAGTCTCCAAACAAAAGGAGAACATTGGAGTTATTGGAAATGAGAATAGCTCCTGGTTTCTGAGTGAGAGACCTCATGGCACTTCAATCCAGAGCTAGCTATACATAAGCAGAGCACAGGAATTCCTCAGATGTTTAGTGGCAACTTATCACAGGTGGCTCTGTGGAATTAAAATGACAGTTGGAACTCAGGCTAACCCAGTTTTTAAATATGTAGTGTTTAAAGGAAACTAGGAATTAAGAGGAAAAAACCTGATTGTTTAAATTCCTCAAAACTCAGGCGTTTAGTCGGGAATGGTTGCACCCTCCTTTGCTAGACAGTTACATCTCCCTTTAGTTGCGTTCCATTTTGCCAGAGAAAGTGCGTCTTTGGTCTGCATTTCTAGTTCCCTGTCTATTCTTTGTTCTGAGTTTCTAATTCCCTGTCTATTATTTTAATTCTTGTTAATATGGCTGGTCACCGCAACTCTCCCACCCCAGTTCCTTCACCCTCCCACCCCAGCTAGATGCCTTGCTTATAAGCTGCTTAAATAAACTTTTCTATATCAGGACCATACTTTGGGTAGTACGAATTGAGATTCCCTAATTTGAAAAATCTGAAATGCTCCACAATCCAAAACTCTGAGCACTACACTACATCATAAGCAGAAAATTCCACATTGGGTGTGTCACAGTCAAAAACGCAGGTGTACTAACAACAGTGCATACAATGACCTGTAGGTTGTGTGTATAAGGTATATATGAAACAAGTGAGTTTGGTGATTAGACTTGGGTCTCATGTCCAAGATATCTCATTATGTTTATGCCAGTGTGCCCAAACCTGACAAAATCGGAAATCTGAAGTATCCTTGGTCCTAAGTGTTCCTGGTGAATGATACTCAACCTGTATTGCCTTACCACAGTGTGCTGCCTTACCCTGCAGCATAGGCTTCACCTTGAGGTGGAGTGGGGCTAGGCTGGCAGCAGGGATGGGGTAGCTCTAGTGGTGTTTAATCTTTACATATAAGTAGAATGCCAAAGAAGTCCTGCATTAAAATTTTTTCCTAAAAATTCTATTTTTCTTAACCTTAAAGAATTGTTGAGTGTAAGAGGAGTGACTTAAGGAGTTTGTTATATTGATACAGGAAAAATGTAACTTCTGCCTATTAGATGTCAAATATGTTGAATTCGTGGTCCCACAACAGTGAGGAATGATGTAAGAAGAGTTTTATTGGAAACAAGGCAAGAATAGCTCCTGGATTTTGTTGGTCACTGAGACCCTTTGTCGGTGGTAATTTATACAGCAAAGTCACAATGTGGGTACAACTTGTGTCAAACTACAATCAACCCATGGGATTACAGCTAGGGCTGCATAGCTAATATTGAGCCAATAGGAAAATGAGTTATGTAGCCAGGGTACAAGGAAAGAACAAAGGCATTTTTGGGAAGTGATGGGTCCATATGGTAAAGGAAACTTGGTCACCCATGTGGGCATGGGCAACTGATGCCTAGCTGGATTTACTGGACCAGGTGATCCTATTTACAATGTAATCTCAAGTTGCTGTTTGTCCTTTAGGGACACATGTAAGCCCGGCTGTTGCATCTTTATCTTGAGGCCTGTGTTTCTTTGGATTTGCCTCCAGCCAGTATTCTAATGTCTTTATTTTTGTGCTGACTTCCTTGAGGGTCCATCTTTGCATATTAATTTCTAACTTAACTGCCTATGATAGTATGTTTACTGTACAGCGCTAGATTGGAAAAAGGTAAAGGCCTTTGGGGTATGAGATGGTTTGGAAATCATGTGACCTTTTTCTTATAACCTAATTAGCTGTGTTCTGTGTTCTGCCCATGAATTCATCCAGTCATTCTCAGCCCTAGAAGTTTATTTACTTATTTATTTTTTGGGTGCTGGAGACGAACTCATGACCTTGTGTTTGCCAAGCAGCACTTATGCCGCTGAGCAAAACTCCTGGCCCCAAGAAGTTTATTTTTTACTCAAATTCATAGATTAAGTCTGAGAGTAAAAAAAAAAACAAAAAAACAAAAAACTTTTTTTTTTTTTTTTTTTTTTTGGTATCAGGGATCAAACTTAGGACCTCGCGCTTGCCAAGCAGGCATTTATGCCACTGAGATAAACCCCCAGCCCTAAAAAACAGATTATTTTTAAAAATATAAACTATATAACCAGTTTATCTAAACCGTAAATCTACCTTTAGAATTTCTCCTTTACAAGCCAGTATTTATAATGCAGTATTTTTAAAGGCTGCATGTCCTCCCTTCATCAGCTCTTCCTTTTTACCCCCTATACGCCAGGCACCAAAGAAAGAAAGAATCCAACAATTGTTGAGTGTATGTCCAAAGCAGTTCATGATCCAGGTCAGGCCAAATTTAGTTTAGCTTTCTCTTGACCAACACCTTCCCAAACAATTTCTCAGTGTATCGGTGACACTTTTGCTAAAAGATTAACAAACCTTGTAGAATAGAGACAATTTCTTTTTTATATCCACACAACACTTCTGGGGTCTTCTGTCTTGTTTTTGAGTAGAGCTAAGTCTACAGTACATATGTCTCTCTTGTTCTACTGTTTTAACTTTTGCCCAACAGTGTTTACACTAAGCTGCTGAGTTAGCAAAACCAGAAAGACCATTTTAAGTCAGGTCAAGTTTCAAGCACCTTTTCTATTTAGAAAAGGCTGAAAGAAGAGGGCCTTCAGTTAGGAAATGATTGATGATATACACTTCCAGGGATCCCTCCCATGGTCTGGAACAGGATGCTGCAAACATGGTGACTGGTAATCTGTTGATCTGGCACAGGGTCACAAGGTCAGGATGCCCCTGCGCATTGTGAGAGTAGCTTAATTTTTCTATCTTATTTTTCTTATTTTGGTGTCATCAAGTCATGAAAAAGGGTGGAGTAAGATTAGGGAAATTTTGGATAAATCAACCTCATACTGCTAGTTTCAGACCCTCTTTAAGTGAAAAATGAAGACTGTGTATTCAGAGAGGCATTGGTTTTTTTCTAGCAAAGGTAGAAGTGTGTTTAAATGTAACATAGATGTTATAGTTCATATTGAGATGTCCCCCCAAAGTCTCAAGTGCTCATAGGTGGGCTTCAGGGAGGTTATTGGCTCACACTAGTGTGATATTCATCAGTTAGGGTTTGTCTACCTATGAGTTCATAGCTGAATGTGATGTAAGGAGGAGGTGGGTCACTGGGGGTGTGGCCTGGAAGGGCTTATCTTCCACTGTCCTCCCTTGACCACTTTATGCTTCCCACTGTCCTGCTGTGAGCAGCTTTCCTCTACTGGGCCTCTCTGCAATGCCACTCTGCCTTTCAGCCTGTGGACCGCAACCTCTACAAGCTGTAAGCCAAAATGAATCTTTTCTCCTTTAACCGCTTGACAGCTTACCCTGAGTGTCATTAGGGCAGTGTGTTTGGCAATGTACTGACTATCTCGAGTGTTGCTTGGGCAGGTGTCATTTCAACCAGTTGATTCTTATATTGAATAAATTTGATAAAATTGTTTCTGTATTTCCTGTTATTTTATCCACATTAATGAAAAGTCATCTTGTATTTGAGTAACTGGATGATAAGTGGTTAAGTTGTGGGTATTGGACATTGTGTCCCAGCAGTGACAAAGTAACTAAAACAGTGGAGGATGTGAGGTTAAATTTTCTTTGAACCTTGAGGATGGCTACAGTCAAAACCCACCCCTCAGAGGCACTATCACAGCAGAGCTACTAGATGACTAATAATATACTGCGTGTGACTTCCAGAAATCATGATTTTTAAAGTCAGCTAAAAGCAAATTACTAAAGGCAAGTGAAGTTAGAGGGGTTTTCCCTTGGGGTCAGCCTCATACACAAACCTTATTATGTCTTTATTGGGTTTTGGTACTGTACAGTTGAAAGATATGGACTTCATATTATTTTGAATGTTGAGTGGTTTTCTACTCCAGTTTCTATCCTGTCAGCTCCTTCTTTTTATCACCTGTCTCTGTTATTTGCACCTGACTCTTTCAAAGCTCTGTGTCTAAACTATCGCCTTTTGGAAGACAGGGCTTGCCTGTTTGGTGACATTGCTAAATCTGGTATCTGCTATGCACTGTTCACAAATGCCTT